TACATTTTGGAACCATTTAATTCAATATGAATAGCAATTTGGTCATAAAATCGTTGTTTGATACAAAGAACAGTTCAATTGTAATTGATAAATCGTGTTAATACCAGCGCTTATCAAAAAATTATCCATAATTCCAGCTCTTGAAAAAAAGGGGGGGGGGTATAGACGATTTTTTCCATTGAAATCGGAGTTTCAAGCATCACCGTATTCTAAAATAGTCTTGGATATGATTAAATGTTCCTTATACATGTATATTTTCTTATGTTTTAGGCAAATAAATAAAACAAATATTTCAATAAAATATAATGTTTCAGTTGTAATCGCTTTGAAATTGGTGGAAAATAAGCATTTTTATCGTTTTTTTTATGAATAAACATATGTTCCCCACCGTGTCACACAAAAAGCTTTGGTATGAATTTGTGAAATACCATTCCATATTACCTGTAAAAAAGAATTTTTGTGACACGGGGGGGGGGGGAGATGTTTTAAAAATATTTTCCGTTTTCTATTGATTTCTATAGTGAAAAACACAAGTTTTACCAAATTTTAGAATTATCTCTCTTTGTTTTCCCAAATAAGTAATGTTTAATGAAAATTCATCTAATTATCTATAAAAAATATTAAAAATTCATCGAATATGTTAACTTTTGAAAATTGACTTGGAGGTAGGCGGGAGAACAATACTATCGTTCGCAGTTCTTATCACATTTTCCCATATTTTTCTTTGTATTTTTGCCCTGGGGGTGTCTTTTTCAACCAAATTGTGAAATTTCAAAAAAGGTTACCATCTAGATTGGTCTAGGAATCATTTACAAAATTTATTTTTTCAAAGCCAAATATGCCTCTAAAATTGCCATATTACGGTATAAATAAATATCAGTGCAGATTAATTATCAGCGCATATGACTTTTTCGGTAAAAAATAGCAATGTTTAGATTACTATTATGATTCTTTATATGTTCTGTCGTACGTTTTTAGTATATTTTCCACTGAGGTTTTGAACATGCAAGAGAGTCATGCGTCATTCTTCAACGTCATGCATTGCTTACAAAATCCGAATACGATGACGTCGTTAGAGCCTTTTCAGCAGTTTTTCCTAATTATTGTCGAAAAATCAGATCTCCAGACCAGTAAGAGTTACAGATAATGTTGTATTTGTATTAAAATCAAAATATTTGGCAAAAGTGTACTGTCGCACAGATGACTGCATGAAATTAAAAAGCTGCGCAAAGTCATGAGCAATCGAATTAGACGCGGCCTCGTTAACAATTTGGCAATTAAGTCGCACACGTAGCACATGTTTTCCTTGACCAGTGAGAGTAGTTCCACATTCATGTCCATGGAAGGTTAGTTAGGATTATTCGTGGTGACTGAATCTCCAATCAGGATAAGTGCACTTTGCAGATAACTCTTGATGGCTCGAACTTCGATATCTCGAAGTTCTTGATCGCTTGAAGTGGGCCTCTGGTCCCGATTTCTTCCCCTACATAATAACTAAGCAAATTTTACTCTTGATTTCTCGAAACCCTTGATCCCTCGAAGTCAAAATGCAGTACCGCTATGCAAATTCTTTTGGAATTTACCCTCAATTCCTTGAAGAAACCATATGTATACAAGTTAAATAATTAGCAACTTTACATTTAAATGGACCCAGGCAAAAGACACGGGTTTCGAGAAACGGGATGTTTATTCAGGTGACACTTGTACTGCAAGGTGATAGCTGATTAATAATTTTATATGTTGCATATATGTTATTAGGGTGTCTTCTAGCTATTCCCACTTTTTAAATATCTCAATTCCACCTATTCCCACTTGCAAATAACAATAGATGTTTAGATTTACCTGTATTTTGTACATTTAAAGACAGAAAATAATGAATACATTTATGAGAAAATATGATTTATTTTGGATTTTTGAAATAATAAAAAGATCTAACAAGAAGTAGCAACTTAATACCTAAATTTAAGAACATAGTTACTTATTTGTTTACACAAAATTCCACCAACTTCCACGTGGAATTTCACCTTTTTCTACCTGATTTTCAGAAAGTGGGAATAGCTTGCATAAACCGCTATTAGAATTATTATCATTAATCTCTTACCATAACATAGAGACACAGTGTCAGTAAAATAGTAATTGATTACCAGACAAAACACTAAATACTACAAAACACTAAATAAATTTAATTTTTATTTCCATTCATTGTCAGAGTTTGAAGATGCCAAAACAGCCTCAATGTCAATATGACGATTCTTTAGGTCAAATACCTACAGAACGTCCAACATGAACAGGAATATACATTTTGAAATTGGTCTTGAATTTCCATCTTGTATATTCGTATAAATATGTTTTTATACAAAATTGTAGATGGAAAAAAAACTTTTGTTATCTTTGATCAAGCATAAGGTGTCGTCAAATTATAATACAACAAGTGTGGAGACTTCTTGATTCCGTATATTATATTGGCAAGTGTTATACCAACTTAGAATCTTTTTGAGCATTTTATTTTTAGAATATACAGCAGACTCGAGTATGTCTACGGGTAATAGTTTGACCCTGATTGTGGAGGAAATATAACCTTTTAGGAACTTAATCAGACAATAATCCACAACGTCAATCAATCATATCTATAACATGCACAACTGAGAATTTGCTTTATGATTTTCATTCAATAACAATTATATTTGAAAGTAAAGTAAACTCACACTGTAGAAACTGTATGTAGAATACTGACAATTAAAACATTTTTGTGACGCCATCTTTCGTTAAACCCGGTTCAATAAATTTGTTATTGTCCTGCACCCCGTCCAGTAAGTTAGCTGTAAGTGTCCAATAAGATTCAACTTATTGGACAGGTACTTGTAACGTTAAAATGAGAACAAAGGGCTAGGCAAATAAGTAAACAGCACTTAAAATGCAATGACAAATAAAACAATTTAATACGACAATGTAGGAAATTACATGTACATGTAGTAGCGTTAAATGTTAATATTTTTAGAAAAATCCTATTAAAAATAGCACAAATAATCCAGTGACTGCAGAGCTTCAGATAATGTTTTACCCCAAAGTGTATTAACTCCCTGATTTTCAAATCAATGCAGATTTTGATTTTCAGCAAAATGATTGCAGAGTATTTTGTTTATATAGTAATGTTTTGACCTTTATTTTGAGCTTGTAATCGAAGTATGAGTTTTTGAAGAAGGAAAAAAAAATTCCAAGGTCAGTTCCTGTATTTAAATAAATTTTGTAAATACCAACAAACTAGTTGCAAAGATTGGGAAGCAGTCTTTTTTGACAAGGAAGACACAGTAGGTCAAGGTACACAGTACCATAGAGTCACCGACACATATAACTTTTCCTTCATTCAAGATACTGTATCAAGATTAAATCCAGAGAATCTTCGTTAATATGGCAAGTTGAGAGAGATGAAAAATTGGCTATGAACCCATAATAAAAAAAAAAGTTATGCCTAGTGCATAGTCTTTCTACACAGAAATTGATTTTAATCTAAATCTCCAATTCTTCCTCCCGTAATGGAGATCGTCGTCGTCATTACTAGAATATATCTGGTCACTAAAAGGCTTTTTAATCAGTACTTCGTTTTCAGAAAAATCAAACACTGTGTTAACCACAATTCGTATTATTAAGTAAGTCGTACCTGTATTCTTCAACTTGTTGTATGCAGTACTTTCGTCGTGTATTGCGTATCTATGATTGCTTATGCGTAATTGTACGCTCTATTTTAATTTTCAATGCGTATTTTGTAAAATTTAATGCGTATTTCTGCAAATACGCACCTTATCTGGAGCTCTGCTGACTTGAATGTCTCAGATTCATTATTGTAGACGAATCCGTGGCTGCGATCATAGATTTCCTAAATTCACCGTTCAATGCTATATACATGTAATAGATTCATTTTACAATAAATTATCCACGGAACATATATAGAATCCAATGGACACAAAGATGAATGAGAAGCAGGCGTTTTCTTGCACACAACCTGGGCTTTTTGATTATTGAAATATCCATTTTTCCGCATTTAGCACAAAATGTAGCTCACGAAATTCCAACGGAATCTGTAATTTCGTTCAGTGATTTATGACCATTTGTCCAGCTAGTTTTGCTTCGTTTGAGCGAGTAATTGTCGTTGTTTAGGGAGTGGCTGGAGTGAAATCCACAAAAGAGAAAGTGTTGCATTAAAAAAAAAACATCAAATAATCTCTCAATTTCAAAGAAAATGCTTAAACCAGCTGTAAGCAGTTATTTGAGTAAAATCTTTCAAATCTATTGCTTTGCAAAAATTACCTGTTAACAGGAAACTGTTCCTTGCAAATTCCGAAACATAATAATATATCATCCGGATTTCACAGTAAAAACTTAAACTGAGGCATATTGGTGTAATCGATAAATGGCATCGTCAAAACACCCGTTTCTGAAGGTCTTTTTTTCAAAATTATAATGTACGTTGTCAACCACGGTCGTTGCGTTGTAAAATGAATAAATTGTAAAGAATTTAATAGAACTGACTTTTACGCATGCACAGTATATATAAAAATGTCGCATTGCGGATAAATAAGACTAAACAAAGTTAATGTTCATATTTATGATATAAAACACCTCTCGATGATTCCTACTATTAATAAAGACAGAAGAAAAACCAAAACTGGTTTTCTTTGGCCTAACTTGATGGACAGTGCCAGGTAGTCATTCAAGCAGAACGAGACCTTACTTGTGGCTTCCCAATAAGATAACAATGTAAGTGTTCGACAGTGGTGAAATGTTTTAAGTAAGTTATAAACCTCAAACTGATCATTATGTCAGATATTAGACTCTCCTCGGCGCTAACGCGCCTCGGGTCGTCTAATATCTGACAAAATGGACAATTTTCGGCTTATAACCATTACTTACTACACACAGCATATTTTTAGATCCCCTAGAGATATTTTCCTAATTGGATTAGAGAGAGAGAGAGAGAGAGAGAGAGAGAGAGAGTACAAAACCTTGTATATTTTGTTCTCCCAGTGCGTGGCAACAATAAGGATAATTGGACGATACGTCTTTTCCTTTTCTGTTCCGCAATAAGTATGAATGGACTTGATCCAAAATACAAAATAGTCTGAAAATAACACTTTTCAAATTACATACATGTAAAATATGACGAAGTGAGTCTTTAATTCAAAAGAGAAACTTGTGAGTTGTCAAACTTGCTTTTAATTTTTTACAAATCTCAATGAATGTGCATTGAGCTCAAAACAATACCGATTAGGTGAATCTAGTTCTAAAGTGTTGTTGTTTTTTCTTACATTGACTCATTTTCTTCGCCTTTCTAATTGTGAAAAAAGAAAATTAAAATTAGTTTTTCGGTGAATGTATCCCCAAAGCCACCCTCAATAAAATAGTTTTAAAATATCATTTTTTGAAAAAACAATTCTTCAATATATGCATAAAGTTGACCATAACTAATATTTAACCGATCACTATACCTATATAATTGCCGAATAGCATATTACCAGAACATACACACGAATTCCACAAGTACCACACTTTACACCTTTGTTTCCAAAGTTAAAACAAGATGTCAATGTCAATGAAAGGTCTTTCCACAAAAAATATATATGTAAAGTATAAATCTCCAGGTATCTGGTACTGTATACAGGGAAATTTTCGCCCCCGTTTTATTTTCGCCCCTTTCGCCCTCTCCTTGATTGGGCGAATTTAAAACGGGGCGAATTCAAATTACAACTCGTAATCTCTGAAACAGAACTATGACTTGGCGAATTTAAGACGGGGCAAAATTATTCACACGTTCAAAAGGGCGAAAATAACACGGGGCGAAAATAACCCTGTGTACCGTATCTACTTTTCAAAAGATATTGCCAAAGGAAAAGTTCAAAAATTTTGTGTAAAAGTAGGTCAAATTCCAAGGTCAAAGGTCAAATTTGGTGGTACGCAAAGAAAGGACTTGTCACAAGAAATACACATGTGAAATATGAAAGTCATAGCTCCACTAAATCAAAAGTTATTAGTAAGGCTCGAGTTTTTGTGGAGAGAGAGAGAGAGAGAGAGAGAGAGAGAGAGAGAGAGAGAGAGAGAAAGAGAGAGATGGACGGACACGACAAAAACTATATACCCCCGAAACTTCGTTTAAGGGGGCATAATAAGAATTCTGCAGTAATGTAACCAAGTGTAGTGTAGATTTGAATATTTTGTTTAAAAACGACTCTGAGGGAGGGGGTTGTGGTATGTAGGAAATATATATTGGGAAGGATTTTCTTATAAACCGCTTAAGAATTACATGTAACTAAAGATATATCCGAGGACAACACTTCAGATGGTCCTATGGCTCCCTTAGGAATGTGCTTACTGGGATAGACTTTGGAGATTCTTAAGATATTCCAAAACGTTGTAACATGGCATACCGGTCTTATGTTTATATAATAAAGAAATATATAAAATTTAATTACTAATACAAAGTCATATAATAAATGTCTATAATTTTTTGGCTCACCTGAGCCGACTTCTAAAAACCATTAAGCCAATATTAATTTCAACAAAACTTGCCGAAAAGCATTCCTGGATAAATTGAATTTAAGTTTGTTCACATTCAGGGATTGTCACGCCCTCTTTCAAGGGGAGATAATCAATAATTCTTGGTGGCATCGATCTCTCAAATCTTTTAATCTCAAGAACTACTGGACAAGACAAATAAAACATGTGAAGTCTTCATTACATATTCTAAATTCAAGATTGTCCATATCATAACCACTGGGTAGTGCAGGGCTACAAGAGGGTTTCAAAGTTTTACGTTTCAATGTATCTAGTAAATGTCTTTAAAAGTCTTCTTCGCGAGAACAGAAAAACCTTGTTTAGTAATAAAATTATCCACAGGTAGTGTTAAAGTGGGGCACAACGGACTATATGAGTTTTACATAGGTACATACGTATATACAGATTTTTTTTAAAAAAATCTTCTTCTCGAAGAATCGTCAAGAAGTGTACATTCATGTTTGTTCAAATTATGGCCCCCAGGGATAAGGTAGGGCCACAATGGCCTATCAAAGTTTCACAAAGAAAGAAGAACTTAAAAATCTTCTTCTCAAGAATTTCAAAGCCATGTTTGGTCATATTTAAGTGAAAGTATTGTCAAGTAGTGTACATTCAAAGAACGAGGGCGCTTTTGATTGGCATTCGGCAGGAATCTGGGCGTAATTGAAAAGTGAAAATTTTATCAACATGTCACATGAAATTTTAACATTCTTTTAATCTATCGGGTTCCTGTGCAACAGGAAATGAAAATGTTTTCCCGAAATTGAGCTTTGATTTGCTCAAAAATAACTTGAAAATTGCCCAGATCAGACATTTAGTAGAAAATGGTACATTTTCAAACACGTTTTTCTAAAAATTTTATATCTCTCGGTCTTCTCTCCATGGTTTTGAAACGTTATTTGTGTGTATTTTCATTCAAAGAAACGAATACACTTATTTAAAAAATGGAGAGAAGAACCAGAGACCACGAAAAATGAACTTTTCTCCTAAAAATCCAACTGTGTGAATGTGGTGCTTCTTTGTTCTTTTAAAATCCACTGTATCTGTGAAGCGGTTATAGCTCAGTAAATTGGGTTACCCGTCCAGTGCACTCGAAGTGAAAAGTTCTTGGTTCGAGCCTGGCATGGGGCGTTAATTTTTTTCCCATGCAAGCAACCATTTATTTTGTCAGTTTCGTTTTATGTACTGATGTATTAAAATTTTGAATTAGATAAATTTTGTTCAGTTTGGTTCTCGAGCGAAATCAATTCTAATCTTCTATTCTATAATGTACATGTACACGTATCATGCATCTATGCGTTAAATATTTTAGGTGTTTATTTTTTTTTTGAAACATTACTATGTTTTAGTACCCCTCAGGAAAACGGACATAAATTTCACAATGTCTTTCAAACTAAATGAAAAAAAACCCTATGGACGTGTTTGTAAAATCCGACCAGCTATGTTCAGCCAACCAAATAATGGACATTTAAACCATAAATGTTTCGTACAAATGATTCCTGCAGATCACATGCCAAATGCGCTCACCTTCTTTGTTAAATCTTGACTCCCAGAAGTAGGGACATGGCACAATTGACGATCAAAGTTGTACATTAGAGTATTTATTAGGAAAAATCTTCTCATCAACAATAAAGCCGGGATTGGACATATTTATATGGAAGCATTCTCAGGACAGGTAGTATATATTTGTTATTTCCTAAAATCCTGACCCCCGGATGATCGGTGGGGCTAAAATGAGGGTTCAAAAGGGAACAAAGCCGCAGAAAGTCAAGGGGGGGGTTATTATTTGAACTAATTTAATCTACACTAACTAGGAATGCTTACATATTTCTTTGACTTACTATAGCTTATAGAGTAAAGTTTCCATGTTAAGTATAAGTCACATCCAACGATGGGGTATACGATGAGAAACCGATACGTTTTTTGATGAAAATGGCGTGGTTGCCGGCCGGGCACCACTAGTGATCGGACGGTGACTGAGTCTCTTTTTGCAAATAGGTGGGGTCATCAGTAGGAAATAATTCGTAGTTAAAATTCAGCGATGTTTCCAACGATGCCTCACATCGTTCCTCAACGGCAACCCATCATTAACACATCTTTCAAGGATCGGCCGATGTATGACCGGGTATCGTCCAATATGCGTTGAATATGAGGTCATCGGGGAGTTTTGTGGTGTTCAACAGATAACGACCGAACATTGGCCCGTAGTCGACCGATGTACGAACGATGTTTACCAATGTATGAGCGATGTAATATACATCGGCCGATTATCCTGGAACATTGTTTTATGATTAGCAATGCATCGCTGGGCCTTTGTAAGTCTGGCCGGCAACCACGCCATTTTTCTCATAAAAAGCATTGGTTGCCCATCGTATGCACATTGCCGGATAATGTGACTGATACTTTAAGGACTACTAGGCCGATATGGACCGATGTTGGGGCATCGTTAACTCCACGGATTACTACCGATTACCACCGGTCTACGGCTACCGGCCGGGAAATGTGACCTAGGCATTAGTAATATTCTGCCGAAAAAAAATATTTCCTTGTAAGATATGGTGAAAAAGCGATATCTGACTCAAATCCTCATACAAAAATTTTAATTTAAGGTATTCAATGTACACATGCAACGACCATATTTTGTATTTAATAAATGAATGGTTTTGTATTCTTTTTCATGGTAGAATTTTGAAGATTTTATCTGGTAATCTAACACCAAGGAATATGATAAACGTGATGACTTTAACTTTTCTATCGTCAACTTCCTTACTTATACAGCAATATACCTTCATCTCTTGCATACGGAGCATATATATCTCAGTTGATTCGATACGCAAGATCTTGCTCTATGTATGAACAATTTCTAAAACGATGTAAATTATTGACAAGCAAGTTGATGAAACAAGAATATCAGGATTCTCGTTTAAAGTCATCATTTTGTAAGTTCTATGGTGGATACAATGACCTTGTCAGCAAATACAATTTATCATTGAGTCAAATGCTGACTGACGTTTATCATACCAATTGTTAGTCCATAATTTATACACTGAATTGACAACGGATTTTTCCGTTATTTCCTGATCATTACACGCAGCACACGGCGGGTGTGACCGATCGGCCGGGGATGTTCAGTCCCTCATGGCAAATTATCCCACCTCTGATGTTTCAGGGGTCCGTGTTTGCTCTGCTCTTATTTTGTATTGTTTTATGGACTTTCAGATTGAATACTGTTCGTTATCTCCATATCCCTCTATCAAGTAAAAATGCTCTACCAAAGGAATTTACAAAAATTTGATTGTTGTCCAATTAATTTCACCTTGAAATTTACATTGAAGTCTATGGGCAGCGCATGTTTTATAAGATATTGTAAATTTTGAAAAAAAAGAATTTCCAATAGATCCCTCGGTGAAAATATTCATAAATTCACTCTTAATAAATTATGAAATAAAGTGAATTAGTTAAGACAGAAATTTTGAGAAATCAAAAAAGTTCTACATTTCATCAAGGGCAGTTAACTCTTTAAAATAATTTAATATGCAATATGACCGTCTTCTTTCATGTTATCACTCCTATGAATTTTGTTTATTTCACTTTTATCGTTATCTAGCAATGTGTTTTAGCTAGTTTAAAATTATCTAAAATCCTTCAAAATCCCTTCATTATACATTGAATACCTTAAGATGTTTACTGGATAATGTGGCTCATACTTAATCCTAACTGACAGCTCTGCTACGCAGTACTTAACGCGCTTTCGCTCTCTGTGACCGCTACTGAATTCTGGATTTGTTTTCGGTGTTTGCCCCGGGCTCGCTTACGGTAGGCTCCTGGTTCGCTCAGGGTCTGTCCTAACGGCCCCTGAGGGAACCTGAATCAGACCCAGAGAGCAAATCCGGACTTCGCCAAGAGTTCGCTAACTGTTAGGTTGTGTCCGGTCGGATATATGAACGAATGGTTAAATTTCATTGTGCTGAAATCAGAATGTTTTGATAATTTCTTACCCCCATATGTCCATTTTGAGAAGAGGCTTCTAGTTTGATCACATAGTTTATCGTCAACTTCCTCATCCAGGTTCTTAGAAGCGTCGACTGCCACTATGTAGAAAGCTCTCCTGGTCAGGTAGATCTGGTGACATGCATAGTAGACACATTGTCCTCCAAAGTCGAAGAAAGTCAAAGTTTTTGATGGTCTTTCTTCCCCACCGTACTCATTCCTCAAACAGGTAGCTTTAAGCATATTGAAAGACAATTACTTTTTTATTACCGGTAATATAATTCAAAATCGTGTACATGTTTTTTGTTTCCGTAACGATAACAACTATATTCCATATGATTCCATGCTTGGAAACTTTTCATTCTAGCATTAAAAAAAATAACATCTAACATTTCAAGTAGGATGTAGCATTTCCAACAGGAATAGGAAATAATATACTTTTCCATTTAAGATCAAATATTTTATTTACACTAAAATGGAATTATAGTTCCTTTATATTTGGATTGGCTATTCTTATACCGAGGCCTAATCTCGTTGAAAATTACGAAAACGAAATGATGAAAATTTAAGAATAGAATGAAATTTTGTAACCTTGCTTTTATTGTAGTGAAATAGGGACCATTTCACAATATGGACCACTTTTCGTGATATATAAAGAAACTACCTACAAGAGGCCCAGGCGCCACATCGCTCACCTGGACACATCGGCTAGGAAAAATCAGATCAGAATTGAAACGATTACTGAGGGGTTTGGGGGGGGGATGGATTCTAATACTACATGAGAATGCCTCCATATCAATTCTGCATAAAATTTCTTGAGAATGTTCATAAGAAAAAGATTTTTTAAAACATTCTGTTTGTATGTTTTACCTGTAATAATTTGAATTTGACTCCCCATCATTTCCCTCCCTACCCCAAAGGCCTACGATACTCATGATCTGAACTCTTTTTAATCTTCAATGCATGCGGATGCTTACATGTAAATATGACTTAACATAGTTTTTCTGTTATTGATATTTTCCCCTTTATTTTACTATGTAAAACTTTGATCCAACATTGAGACCTTTCCCTTGGAGGTTATAATTTGATGATTTGAAAAAATATAATTCTACACTACCTGAGGATGCTTCCATATAAATATAACTAATCATGGCTTTGCTATTCTTTAGAAAAGATTTTTAAAAAATATATTCTTATGTAAAACTTAGACCCCCTTTGTGGCCCCGACATATCCCTGGGGGTTATGATTTGAACAAACTTGAATCTAAACTATAAAAAAATATTACTAATCATGGCATTGCAGTACTTGAGAAGAAAATTTTCCTCCATATTCCTATGTAAAATTTTGATTGGTCATCGTGGCCCCACCCTTACCCCAGGGGTCATTATTTGAATAAATGTTTATGTACACTATACGAGGATGATTCAAGATGAGCTTCATCTTTCCTGTCCCAATGGTTCTTGAGAAGATTTTGTAAAAGATTTTCCCTATTTACATGTATTTCTATGTAAAAATTTGATCAGTCATTTTGGCCCTACCCCTGCCTGCCCTGGGGCCAAGATTTGAAAAACCTCTAATCTACACTACCTTAGGATGATTCCATATGTGTTTCCAATTTCCTGTCCCAATGGGTCTTGAGAAGAAGAATTTTAAAGATTTTTCCAATATATTCCTATGTAAAACTTTTATCCGCCATTATGCCCCCCTACCCCCGGGGCCATGATTTGAACAAAACATGAATGTACACTACCTGCTATTATTCATCATGAGTTTCATCTTTCCTGTCCCAATGGTTCTTGAGAAGAAAATTTTTAAAGATTCTTCCTATATATCCTTAGTAAATTTTTGATTGTCCATGTTGGCCCCACTCTTGCACCGGGGGCCATGATTTATACAAATAGGAATGTACACTACCTGAGGATGATTCCATGAGTTTCATATTTCTTGGCCCAGTGGTTCTTGAGAAGATTTTAAATGCCATTAATTTTTCACTAATTCATAATTATCTCCCCTTGAAAGTCTGTTTGACCCTTTACTTGAACTTACTTGAATACCCTTATCCCAAGGATACTTTGACGCAAATTTGGTTGAAATTAGCCAAGTGGTTCTTGAGAAGAAGATGAAAATATGAAAAGTTTACTACAACGCCAACGACGACGACAATAACGACGTCGAAAAAAATTTGATCCGAAAAGCTCACTTGAGCTAAAACACGAAGGAATTGAGCAAATTATATTAAAACAATGATGAAATGTTCTGCCTTTCACATATATTATGCAATATCAATTCCTCATTTAAAATATGAACAGAAAATTGGGAGTAGCCTAGCATGTCAAATCATGCCTGACGCAAAATAATTCCTGTATCTCCCCTTCCGATTCGGACATTTTGACACGAGACTGGGTCTTATTTTTTAATGATATGAAACACATGCACAGTTCTTGTATCGACAAGATTGATTACAGTTCCGGCGTGCTGATTTTTCTCTATACTGTATGCGAGTGGGGAATGATTAGGCCCTGGAATTGATTTTTAGGCACCTGCTTGACTTTGACCGAAGCAAACTTGCGTGCCCTGCTGAATGGTTATGCATTTTGGGGTACTTAAGTCTTTATAAAAATGTTTTACAAGATTACTCTTCATCCTCTATGTTGTTTATCACACAGTGATGTAAAAAAAAGAGAAGAGGGAGGGGGGGGGGGAGAAAAACGCTATATCATGTTATATTGAGGAATCTCAAATTGGAGGCGCTATCAAAAAGTTCGTGGACTGAGGCTATAAAATTAGTACTTTGTTGTCTGAGCCTACAAAATCTATAAGGAATATAAAACAACGATAAAATTAAGAAATGCTGGAAATTTTAGATTGATAGGTTCATTATTTCCCAACTTATCATAAGAAAATTATATAATCTCCAGGGCCGTCGCCGCTTAGTTTCATGACGTCCGAAAACATAATTATTTCTTCGACCCCGTACACTTACATTTGTATTTTGATGAGATTCCCTATGGCTGATCGAGTAAGGACAACGCTTCTTGTTTTTTTGATTTTACAATGTCATGAACAGAAGCTTTCAATGCATATATTATTGCAAATGGATTTATACATTGGGAGAGATCCTCGCTTGATTCTGCCAACAAATTTTGTTTTTTTGTGTTCAATATACAGGTAAACTTCGTTATCTCGACATCGACGGGACAGTCGGAAAATGTCGAGATATCCGAGGTGTCGAGATATCAGAGTTGAGATTCAATGTCCTTAATTTTACTGCATAGTAAAACCATAGACCTAAACTGAACAGGGTTACAGACGTGTAACTACAGATACCTACATGTCTTCAATTAGATTGTAGCTCGTTTGTTTCAGCTATCCCTCTATAATTATTAGAAATCTAAGAAGTATTTATGAAATGCTTTCTTTTTTATTGAAATCTTCTCATTTTACTATAAACCGTTTTACATCCAGCATTCGCTCCGCGTGCCGCTAGCTCTGTCAGAACAGGATACAAAATGCGCTATATAAACTCGAAACCGGACCGGTACAATTTCGACTTCTGAGATACGGGAAAAAAATTAATGCGTATATTTTAAAATTATTTCATTTCACATTTTTTTAATTTCATAATCATTTATCATTAATTTTCCTTTGATTTTTAACCAAATTTAATTAGAATTGCGCAATTAACAAGCTTAATAATGTTCCATATGCATCCACATTAGGGCTGATGCAATATGTCGTAGATTTGATTGATTCCTGTTGAATGCATTTTTACCATAAAATCTAAGTTGATTTGGATTCAATGTGTATATTATTCATTGTTATTCAGTTACTTTTTTATAACATGTTTTAAGTTTTGTCAGATTTCGACATAAATAAACGATGTAACATTTACGCAGAATCGAGATTTATCAATGACATTACCCAAGCTGAACATCAAACAATTAACGTATTAGAGACGCCGAGGGGGGCTTGGGATTCCTCGACAAACACATTTCTACAGAGCAGTATGTAGTCAAAACATGAGTGTGAATTTCTGACGACGTCGAGATACACGGAGTCGTCCGTGCGTGACGAGCGACCAGCTGACAAACAATTAGGTTAAGTAGAGCAGAAAATTGCCCCGATGTCGACATATACCAGGTAAATTTGGCTCTTGGGACTGTGAAATACGTCGAGATAAGCGGGGTAATCGACATTACCGAGGTCGACATATCAGAGTTTTTGCAAATCATTTATATAGTAAATAATGCCGGGACCGCGGGCGGACGTCGACATATCCCAGGTTGTCGACATATCCGATGTCGAGATACCGAAGTTTACCTGTATGTAAAACATATGATCAATACATCTCTATATTATCTATACATTATTTGATGTGATGGATTTTTTTAGACCTTGACTGCAAACCGACATTAACTTTGAATCCCAAATTTTCTCTGAATCTATTTTGTCATTAAAAACACGTATGCAAATTATCTTCGTAGTCAGTTTAAACATTTCTTAGGTGTATACCAGTTTTTCAAGCAAAATTTAATAGACGTCATTTCCAAGGCAATATATGTTTGGATACTCCTTGTAAAATTTACAATAACATTTGAAAGAATGAGGAAAATAATCCATATTTTATGGAACAATATAGTGGCCCAATACATATCTGAATTAACGAGATTTGTGGATGTCAATTGTTCATATCAAAATCGTTTATCTTAGTTACACTTAGGTCGAAAAAAAAACGCGTTTTCTATGTTGCGCCGCTTGGACATACCATTGCTTATAAAAACTTTACACATGTATTTAAAAATGAAATTTATGATTTGTGGTTTATTCTATAGAAAGAAAAGATGATGATAACTTAATATGTAAAATAATGATTCATAATTTTTTCAAAACAAAAAACCCACAAAAAAAAAAAAAAAAAAAAAAAGCAAAAACAAAGTATTTCTTCGTATATTTATGTCTTCAATAAACAGATTTAGTGAACACTTCAAGGAGAAAGAATAACATGTTTGAAGAATAGAAAATTATTTCAACGCAATTTAACGTTATTTTAATCCGTGACGGTATAATGTATAATTGTTTCGGCAATCAAATGTACTGTGACACGTCTGAAACGATGCAAAAAGCGTACGTGCAGATCAAGTAGATTGGTCCTCGTTAAATAAAATCAAACAACAATGAAAGTGATATATGGAAAGACAAACAGCAATCTCAAGTTGATTAATAAGGAACACTGTATTAACGTCATGATAATAAAATATTGATACAGTCGTCCGTTTATCATGGACAGATGATGCACACAAAAGAATGGATGCCTAGATCGGTATATATTTTTGGCCTAATTTCATTGCAAATGATGCAAACAATAAATTCCTAGAATATAAAGAAATTGTTAACTTTCTGTGATGTTCAAAAGTCTAATCTTTTGAAGCCATCCTTATTAATCTGTACAAGAAATTTTCACTTCGAATCTCATTTTTGTGAAATTTTGAACGAAAATCAAAAACTTATTCATTTTACTTATTTAAACATGACCCAAGTTGTTATTTTCAAATTTTTTGACATAATTTTGTTTGTATCATCTGTCCTGAATAAAGAAAACATTTACCAGTACCTTTTAATGATTTTGTTTCTTGACAAATCTCAAATATTTCCTCATGGACCTCTATTTCCTCAGTAGTCTCAGTGTTCATAATTTCTTCTTCACTACAGCGAAGCAGACGTCTAAGTAGAGTAGTCTTGCCTGCTCCTGCACAACCTACAATCATCCCCCTGGCTTGATGCACCGCCCATGTCCCTTTCTTTGTGTACTCTACGTAACGCTTTCTGGCTTGTTCATTCCAATGAAGTACCTCTACTGGGACTTTAACTATGCAATTACCAAAATTTTTTGAGTATTTATTTTTATACATGTATATTATTCAGATCCATGGCATTGAAGTATTTCACATCTGAGGGAATAAATGAAACAAATACTCACGTTGTTCACATATACTATCAAACACATTTTCATCTGAAACGGTGCAATGGCTGATAATGTTCATCTGAAGTTTGTCTATAAAGACATTCATCATTGATTCCGGTCTATAAGGGACATACAGACATCTTTCTCCGTCACTTCTCTCATAGCCCCAGGATCTGCAGTATTCAGATATGACGTCACAAGAGGCCTCAGAGAGAAAGAACTCGAGGTCACTGTCGCCCAATAAACATTCGGTGACAAAAGCATACATTATATCATGGCGAATGGCATCTGATGCAAATGTTGTGAAACCAGCTTGAGTTCTTGTCAAGTCCTTTGGGAGAATTGACATATTAATATTACCATGACTTGTAATTTTTGTAAAATATTTCTTTCTGACTTTTTTCGACAGAAGTTTAAAGGACTCATCTATGTTTTGAACAGTGTATTTCTTCATGAATAGCAAGCTGTATAGCAAACTTCTGACATCAGCTGGATATTTATGGTAGCAACCTGAGGAAGAAATATTTCAGAAAGTAGGAAAAAATGCAATCGATATATTTGAATGTATGATTTCACTGGATAACAAAAGGATGGACTGCAAAACTTTCCACAGTCCTTAGAATTTGGTACACTACTGTATATACCCGGTATATGAATACACACGTAAATCATGAGAAGACCGAGAATGCAAAATACAAATTTAAGGTCAACTGATGTAAATGACAAGTGAGCTTATCTATCAAAATTTGAGCATTGTTTGTCGTTGCGGTCCTTTTAAACTTTAAGTACCAATATGCAAAAATCATTCTCGGTTGATAATCAATACTAATGAAATATGTTTAAATCATATACCAAACACTCTATAAAGCATTTTTGAAAATGTAACGAAATCTTGCACAATAACATCAAAAGCACGATTAGGATATTCACTGAGAAACATCTTCAGGTTATGTGGATTTCAATTTGTTCAAATCATCACCAAATGTAGGGTGGTGTTTGAAAAGTTTGACATGGGTAGTTTAAACAATTTCTGTAGAAATCATCTTCATAACAACGGCTAAGGCATGGTTAGTCTTTTGAAGACTCTTTAAATTTATTTAGTGAAAATTCTCGTTTTTTCAAACCATACATCAGATAATACGTAGCTTGGGTCATAATGCGCGATCAAACGTTTTACAAAGGTCTATATAGAAAAAAGATCTAAAGATGAGCAAAGGTAGTGGGAACACAGTGGACAATCATGATTCTTGGACAGTGGGGCCACAGTTTACGATTTTATTAGGAATACATGGAAAATAATAACATAAATTCAATTTCTTGCAAAAAGTCACTCTCTCTCATATCAAAGAATCCCTAGGTAGTGTACATTTAAATTTGTTCAAAGCATTATTCTGGTAAAGGGTAGAAGGCGGTCAAATTTACACAGGAACACACAGTAAATAAAATAAAAAAGGGAAAATGAATTGATAAGCATTTTGGACCAACGATCTTTTTTACATGTCACATATATACAATTAATCTGGTTGATAGGTTATATTAATAGCAGTTAATACCGATTTTAGTAAATAGGAGGAGTTAATGCTTTTGGTACCTGAGGGATCTGTACGTAACGCTCATTTTTTTAAGCCATGACATAATCTTGAATGCATTTCTCTATTGAAAAAAGTATTTTTCCAAGATCCTTAAAGATACCAAATTGGTAAGAAGATAGATCATATACATGTACATACATGTACAACAGTTGGCGATGTTTTTGATTCATACAAAGTTTTCTTCCGAGAAATGCGAAAAATCGAAACACAACAATAAGTAACATGTTAACAGAATACGTCATAATGGGAATCTCTATGTATTATACATTTCAATACATTAGGTAGCATTTATGATAAAAATTGTCATAAGATTTCTTGTGCCAAAAATCATGAAACTTGTCTTGTGAAAAAATAAAATAATAATCCGCTTACTTGGTTTTCTGTAAGCTATGTTGTTGATGATAAAGAGATCCAAGTGAGGATGGAGACCTATGTTGGATCTAGTAAGATCATGTCTCCAAAATCTAGGATGCCATTTTACGGGTTTTGCACTCTTTTTTGATTCACCTCTAGGTACAGTCTCGCCATTTTCTTGTAGATCTTTTAGAAACCTTTCCCTTTCATTGAAAGGTTTCTGTAAAATACTGACAGGAATGTTTACTACAAATATGAAATTTAAATTAGTTTAAAAAGTGATTTATATAAATCTTTTTTTAAAAATATTAAATTTGATATTTATGTTATAAAATGATAGAAAAATATAATACCGCATAGCGGAATAGTTTAGCGGGATGCTAATTTTGGCTTATTTTGGCGTTTTAATGGCAGCCCGCTAAAATTATAATCGCTAAAATATTCAGTACTATTTTTAGTGTTCAGGTGCAAAGAGTTGAAACCCTGTGTCCGTTAAAATAAATAACGCCAAAATATTTAGCATACCTTTGAGCAGGTAAAACGCCAAATTTTACAACCACGAATAAAACCGCTATACGGTATTATCGATTTCCCCTACCCTTACAAAATAGTATCAAAAGAAAAATATCAGGAAAAAATCTATTAAAAAACGTGATGTAAATTTCTTAAACGTTGCATCACAATCATATATAAATTGTGCGAATTTTAATCACACAACTCAAATGGTTTTTAAGGGCCTGTTATTTTATCTAATCATAATTTTACAAACCATACAATATTTCTAGATTGAGGACCCTTCTCGGGGACTGAATATAAAAAATGGCATTTGGATTGCAATAATATTCAAGGATACAAAAAAATAGGACGAAAGACCTCTCTTCGTTCGCAACGCATCCGAGGTTTATATTGTTTTTGTCTTGTCTGTTGTCAACTTTAATTAACCTTCGCCCTTATTATTGAACCGCGAGAGATGGACACTTCATATGTGATATGCGTACTCCACTTATTATTTTCTTTTGAATGATAACAAGGTCAATGAACTTGTGACGTTGAATGTAAACGAAATGCTAAAAATAGCTTTTTCGAACTTTTGCCATTATTGTTGAACCATTGGAGATAGATATATTTAATATGCAAAACCACTAATTAAGTTCTTTCAAATGACACGAAGTTCAATATTCTAAAAATAGCATTCCTGAAATTTGTTGCCGACGGGTGCATAATGTTTCACAAACAAATCTTGTTAATTGGTATCACTGAATAGTATACATATAAATGCTTTAAAAAAAACTTTTTAAACAGTCAATAAGGGTAATTCAGAATTTATCTTTATTCCATAACTCTGCATCTGTGTTGTATAGAATCTGGATAAGGTCATTAAATTAATATCACTTCATCACACAGTCAAGGTTTAGGTTGATAATGCGATGAAGCGATAATGCAATTTTGATGAAGTGATGATTTGATAGCACGATTTCAATGAAACGATAGTATGGTTACAACGGCTTGATAAAACGCGGACATTGAAGCGATGTTCACAATGGTTCCATGGTGCTATCGATAGTGTCAGCGTTATCGCGCCATTGTGTCATTGTACTATCGTTTCGTCGTGCTACCACTTCATCGCATTGTTTCGCAATCGCAGAGTCATTGCGCTATCTCACAATCGCTTCATCATCATTGCATTATAGTGTCATTGCACTATCGACCTAAACCTTGATTGTTAGATGATGGTGATTTTATGATCCTATCTGGATTCCATAATGAGGGTCATAAGAAAAAGTGTTTGTAAAACATTCCCACACAATAAACAAACCAAATTGAAGAAAAGAAAATTTCAAATAGGTTGACCATATATATGTAAGACTCCAAAGTGCGATGGTGACGCCAAAGTCCGATGGTCTCGCCAAACCCCGATGGTCTGCGCCAAACCCCGATGGCACGCTGTCTTTACGGACGCCAAAGTCCGATGGTCACGCGAAAGTCCGGTGGCTCGTTTCCTATGAGACGCGCGACGCTAAAGTGCGATGGTCTGACACGCCAAAGTCCGATGGTGCGGAGGAACAATCAACGTTTATGACGTCACAATAGTCCGACGTCATGACGTTGTCCTGTATTCAAAATCCATTGATTCAGTATTCGTCTCACATACTTTTTTTTACTGATATTGCTTATTGTTTTTCTCCACCGGAGCTATTAGGGTCAGTCCTTGAACACCGTTCGACTGATAAGGGTTAGTTCTTGAACACCAATGTGTTTCTTCAAACTCACCCGAGAGATTTTATGGTTAGTCCTCGCACACTATTGGACTGATTTGGGTTCGTCCTGCACCTATTCAAGATATCTAGCTAATACTTTTTACACAATTTTCGACTGATAAGAGTTAGCCTCGCACCTATATCAAAAAGGTTAGGATTAATATTTGCATTTAATATTTATTGTGTATTTATTTTGAACAAAAGGCCCTTGGCATGGCGCTGCATTACATTTTTGCGCAGTAGTACTATGACGTCATAAACGTTAATTGTTTTCTGCACCATCGGACTTTGGCGTGTCAAACCATCGGGGTTTGGCGCAGACCGTCGGACTTTGGCGTGACCATCGGACTTTGGAGTCCCATCGCACTTTGGAGTCCTACATATATATATTTACATTCAGTGTAATTTTCCTTATAGAAATCCACAACGTTCAAATTTCTATAACACACGCGAAACCTTGTCACTGCGCGTTAAAATACACAGTAGGAACTATACGCATTTTCAATATTCTACATGTAGGAACACCAAAATTCAAAATGTTTTATTTATATTCAATGAAAAACTTTAACCCTGAAAAATTAATATAAAAAATTAACGTAATGTAGATTAAGAATTAATTTGTCACTTTTTTTCTCGCTATGTTTGTTTGCGTCATTTAACTTTGCAACGTCATTTAACGTCATTTGACGTCACAAACGGCTCTTACATCTATTAACCACGACAGTTTTGAAGGGCGCTAAATTCACATTTGTGATCAACGGAATAAGCTAACGCGCGGTATTCATTTGTCGGCAGGGCCAGGTGTGTTATAAGGCCGAAGACATCCAAAAATATGAATTCAGTGCTTAAGTATTTCGGAGAGAAATCTTAAAAATTAAAAATCGCTGGGTTGTTATACAAATATGTTAAAAAGATTTTTTTTATATCTTGCTTTGTAAAAATTCATTATATGGCCAATTTTATAGTAATGTTTCTTTGCCCTCGATGCCCGGGGCCCATAAGTGCACTCGTTCTTTAATTTAACTATTACTTACATATTTGAAACACTTTGTTGTATATCCCTGTATCCTCCATAGTGACATGGATAAGAAAGTCTGTTTGCAGACGATATAGTATTAACGATTCAACTTCTGGACTAAGACATATTGCACACTTTTCACCAGGTTTGCGTTTGTACCCTTGTGCTCTTGTGTACTTCCTGGTTGTTTCAAAACTAAGGTAATACACATTAAAGTCACTACGGGCAAAAGCATATTCCACAAATACATACATGATTTCATCTGCAGCATCTTCAGTAATCCGTACGCCATTCTCGTCATTAAGTAGGAATTCACTTGATTTAAGTTTGTCTAGAGTCTTAAGAGCTTCTTTCTTTGAAAGAGGATCTTCTTCATTCAATTTAGATTTTATCTTATTAAGAATTTCTAACCATGTTGGTTCAGCAAAATCAGGGCTACCAGAGTCAGCACACAAAAAGCAAACTAACATACACAACTCCTCTGCAGACAATGTATCGAATTTCTCTGCCAAAAAATATAAGTTTCATATGTCACAATCAATATTTAATTATAATTGTTTTTACATTATGTTTATGTTTTTTATTTTATTTACCCTGTACTGGACCTCCTCTTATTGTTACCTTTATTGAACCGCAAGTTAAGTTTTGCAGGCATTGGTCAGTTACGACCTATTGTATAGAGGGTATTTAAATCGCTGCATAGCTGACCAAGTAGCCGGGGTCCACGTTTTCATAGATTTTTTTACATGCTATGCTTGAGGTACCAAGATGTGTAGCTAAGTAAGTTATCAACGGTAACCATTTCTCCATAAGGGGTAAGTTTGTTTTTTTTTATTTTATATATAAGTTTTGAGTACTACATTCAAGACGTAAAGCTATGTACGAATTTGAGTTAAGTAATGTTTTTGTCACTGTTTACGTATACAGGTTTTGATGATTAGAGTTACTCATGGGTGTATAGTTCTATTTTTGTGCAATGTACTAAGTTATGTACGCACGTAGGCTATTTTGTTTTGCCGCTTATAAAGTCGGTGTTGTGGTTTTAAGAGTTAAAACCACTTTTGTTGAGATGTTGTGTATTCTTAATGTTTTTAATTTTAATAATGGTGTTCGGTTAGAATTACAGGTACTGTTTTGTATGGTGTGCCATAAGTGCAACTGTAGTCAATGTTGACGTGTTATTTTTAGTATACGTAACTTGCAACTTAAGATATTATTTAATTTAAAGGTTCCAGAGATATTCAAGACATATGCCAGTCCTATTACAGCTATGTTCCAGCCATTTTGTGCGGACACGTGTTACTAGCGTCACCTGGACCGGAAACCCACTGGGAGCCAGTTGACAGGAGTCTGTCGTGAAACGGGGAGAGTCAGGACGCGGTCGCGTGGTATACTGGGATGGATATAGACAATCTATAGTGTTCAAGTGATACAGTGTATCTATTGTAGATAATTCGTGTATAAATATTTTGTAAATATTGTTTTTTAATTGATTTTATTTATAGATAAAAAATTGTAAATAGAAAAAAAAAATCTTGTTATATCTGACTGAATAGAGCACGACGGCTGTCGTGACATCATAAATGATTTATTATATATATTTCCTTTCACAAAGTGCATGAAAATGAAAAAAAAATTATATAACACTATTCTCCCTTACAAAGAAAATGGTTGAAAAGCCGGATGTATAGATATTCATACAGGTATATCATCCGAGGCAATTGCTCTGATTTTTCAAATTTGTTAAAATTATTGTTCATTAAACGAGCTTAAATATACTTATATGTCTAAGGATTAGCTTTAAAAATGTCAAACAAGAATTTTGCCCATAATGACAGTATTACACCCACCTTACTCTACACTCATGATCAGATGTAATAGTACTCTCGGATATTTGCAAAAAGATAAACAAATATCATATCCTTTAAAACAAGAGGCCCACAGGCCATATTGGTCATCCGAGTATCATGTAACAACTTTACTGAACCAAAAGCCATGGAATTTACAATTTTGAAAGAGGCACTATTGCTGATCATTTATACACTTGGCATGCTTACTTTAGCTATTTACATGTAACACACAGAGGTAGATCAGACTTATAAAGAGAAACTGCATTTCCACTTTATAACCACCAGTTCTGTACCCTGTCCCACAGGAACCACTGACCTTGGGGCAACATATTTCAAATTGTTATTTAAAAAAAATTTCATCATAAATGGTTGAATAATACCAAATAGCAGATTTCAAAGCATTGGTTCATTTTCAGACTACGTAACCCCCTGGTACCCCTGACCCAGGGGTCCTGAAATTAATCATTTTGGAAGAGTATAGTAAGGTCCTTACTTCATCATAAATATGTACTTAGATCATTGGCATAATACCCAGGAGCAAAGGGAAGGATTTTCAAATAATTAATGCATTTTCAGTATGTAATCAATAGAGCCACACCCTAACAACAGAACCAATGACCCAGGGGCCTCAAATTCAGAAATTGGGGAGAAAGCATCCACCCTCATCATAACTATGTACATAGTTCATTTTTTTTTTGTTCCCATTCACTAACAGATGATTTGTGCCAAAATTGGTCGAAATTGGTTGAGCAGTTGCAGAGAAGAAGCTGAAATGTTCAAAAGTTAAGACTTATTGACGACGGACGGAAACAGATAGCAATAAGTAACCCGAGTGACTCAGCTGACCAAAAACTGAAATGTTAATAAATGTATATGTACAAAGAATGGCAAGAGGGTTTGCTTCGGAAGATAGTGTATTATAATTGAATTGCACAACAAGTACAAAGTGAAAATAAAGAAAAAGATACCTGAAATATTTGTTTTCCAAACACTGTAGTCTCCCAGCAGATGAGAAAGTTTTTCTTCTAAAATTTGAAAAATAAAAACTGAACGGAAATTAACTTCGTGTGAATTTTCTTTTACATGAAATGAATACAAGTTTTGTTAAGAGCCCTCTATTTACTGCACACTAAAGAGTTCTGATTCGTTGGTATTTTTTCTGAAGTTGATCTTCAAACCAGAAATTCACAGTATATTTTTAATCAATTCAAGTATGCTTAACATTTTAAAAGGCCAAGGTAAATTAATTGAATATGTTATTTGCATGTATTTTCTCTGTGGAAGTAAACAACAGACAGGGTGACTTCTATTCACTGATACTGTATTGTGAATGATTATTTTTCCTGAGGGTACATGTAAATGGCACGTACCATATAGTGAAAAATACATAAATAAGCTCAATATCAACACCTTTATAGAATATTTTTTTTCTCCATGTCCAAAAAACATTTTGTCCCGGTGTAGAGACGGCCCTTAACATGGTTACGTACATATACTATATAATTAATGTACGAGTATGTGAATATGGTTTCGAGAAGTTAAATTTAAAGCCTCTCTTAGGACGGAAAAACTGTGACCTAGCATTACATAGATCAAATAACATTAAGACTCAAGTATATATATTTAAATCTAGAGTTGTCACGAAGTAACTAAGAGAGTTATAGTGGAATTAATGATACGTGGATCGCTTCAAAGAACTTTTATTTTCAAGATGTCTAACGTCATGAGTAATTTTGAGAAATTATGCAATATTTGCTAGAGTGATTAAACCAAGAACAAAGGCAAATATAATTTCTTTTCCCACTTTAAGTGTTTGGCAAATTGATCTACAAAGTCAACTGGCTCTGTAATATTAGGGAAATGCATTCTTTTCAACTGGGACTTGTTTGTTCCTGCAATTTTTACTTGCTGTACACGTACGTGTAACACTTAAAGATGCCATAGCTGTGTATGTTGCCTTGTATCAGCCGTTCACTACATTCGGTTTTGAGGGATCAAGGTACTGCATTAACTGCGGCGCAGGGGACAGCATATGTTTGCAGATAATTGGGGAATTCTCACCATTTTAGCACATCAATATCTCGATGCATATGCAAAAATGCACAAATCAAAGAAGAACGACGTACCTCGTATATGTACAAACAAAAGCGGAGCTCAGACTTGATGGTTTTATATGCCTTTCATCAGAGCATGAACTCTTTTTGTGATACAGGCTCAGGTTTCAATTTTTACCCATGACACTAAGTTCTAATCTTTATACTAGACCGAAAAGCCGTAGAGAGTATATGTGTAATTTTCCTTAGAAAATTCATATAATCTGCACAGAAGTACGTAACAGCATTGAAGCTAATAAGGCTGCTATGGGAACAAGCGCAAATTCAAATCCTCTTGATCCTCAAGAAAAGTGATTATGATTATTTAAGTATTCAAACAGTAGGACCATGAGAGAAGTTTAACGTTTCACGGCCATCTCAATTTTCAAAAGTGATATAATGTTATTATAATTATTATAATAATAGTGTTACATGTAATGAGGTATATGAACATGTCTAAAGGAGATGAATACCGACCTTCTTCCTCGGATTCCATGATTTTACGTTTGTTTTCTATTGCCTTTTTCGGTTTTCCTGTAAATATGAATTTATTCTGTATTTTTTGATATATTACAAATCAGGTAACGATAAGACAACGTTTGTATAAATAAAGTTATTCATGCAACTTTAACATCAGTGACCACTGAAACGACAGGTCAATGGACCGCAAAGCCTGAGTAATTTCAGGTCTCTTGTATTTCACCAGATTTCCACATAATTGGAAGTAATGGTCCCACTAAACCCGCAGAAGCAATAATTTTAACAATTTATAATCTCTACTACCCAAGGATTCTTCAACATAAGTTTCACTTTTTCTGGCCCAGTGGTTATTGAGAAGATTTTTGAAGACTTTTCATATATATTCCAATGTAAACTAAAAAAATCTAATTTTGGCAACATAATTTTTTTCAAAGTGCGTTAATATGGTCGCTATCAAGGCACTTAGAAAAGATTTTTTTTTCAAAGTGTGTACTTTTTCAAAGTGCGTTGTAACAGTCCATTTTTCACACATTTTAATTCTTTTTCACAGTGCGTAATTTTTCAAAATGCGTTTTAACAATACACCCCTTTTTATCTAATTTTTATACGGCAAGTTTGTCATACATGTATCTACCTTTTCATTCACTTGTAAGTCCCACATCTTAAATTGTTCAATTAATAAATTTACGGTATAAGATGTTTTAGAAATCATGAATTCACAACATAGATTATTTAGGCATATTACTCGTATATATCAGACCAGACATTATAGAACATTTTAATAGCATACGGACAAAAATTTTAGATAAAGAAAAATGGTACATGTAAATTCTGATGCAATTTGAATTTGAAATCGTATATACATGTAATACCATGGAAACAGATACAAGTGTAATCACCTATTGTAAACTTGGAATCTGCATTCAAAACTACCAGTTCTCTCGGACCTCTTTCCCTGATCGGAATGAATCTTTGTCGTTCCTCAGATTGTGTATCTAATTAAAATTAAACTAACATAATTTAAAACATTGATTTAGAATTATACCCAAAAATGCTTTTATTTTTTATGCTGAAAACAAAATGCTTTTTTTTTTCTTTGTTTTGAAATTAGAATTGTAATTGTTTGCTTAAAGTTCCTTGGTACGTAAAAGTATGCTGCTTCTAAAAGGTATACATATACTTCAGGCTGATCTGATGAGTTAAAATGCGACGAGTCATAAATTCTTTTTAGTACCAACGACACGAAAAATAAAACCTGACCAAATTTATTTTCACTAAGACTAATAATTCAAAACAGTGACTGGACGAATAGTAGCATTATTAAAAAGGAGAATCACCCAAGTGGTGCATTTCTGTCTGCTTTAGAGTCACGATGTAAGGAGCTGATCCTTACGTCGCGGTTTCAAAATCCACGGTGAGACGTAGAGATCGTCCTACGGATGATACCGTATAAACCGAGGTTCCGTATGGCAGTAGGTGCTGACAGGAAAGTCCCTAAATTCTCATTGGCCGTAAGTACGGGACAAAACTTGCAGCTCTCCATCGGCAAGTGTAAGTGAAATTATAATAATTCACTGGTAGATTCTCTCTCTTTCTCTCCCTCTCTCTCTCCTAACTGGCTTCTGCGATCGCGAGGTAAGCTATTATCTAATATGCATATTAAGGACAGATGATACAAACAAACATTTGTCAAAAAATTTGAAAATAACAATTTTAGTCATGTTTAAATGAGTAAAACGAATAATTTTTACCCCGTAGTTTTTAATTTTTTATTCAAATTTTCACAAAAATGGAATTTGAAGTGAAAATTATTTGTATAGATCAAAAGGATGGTTTCAGAAGGGTAGACTTTTGAACATCACAGAAGGTTTTTAATTTCTTTATATTATAGAAATTTATTATTTTCATCATTTGTTATGAAATTAGACCAACAAATATGTACCAATCCAGGAATCCATTTTTTGTTTGTATCATCTGTCCTTAACTTACTTACCAATAATATGTTGTCTCTGTTTTCTCTTTGTAAACTTGAACTTTAAATACAGCAGCAGTATGACAAGTGAAATCAGTATTGTAATTGATGTTGCTATCCCTATTATGGTTCCCAGGTTTGTAGAATCCTCATATCCTGTACTGTTGCTTGAATTACGATGTGTTCTGTGGTAGAAATTTTAAACATTTACATGTTATTTCATATGAAAACTTTGAGACATTTTGAAGAAAGAAAACGTGATTTTTTTTTTAAATATTGTGGTTCCGATTAGTAACATATACTTTAAAAAACACAATTAAAATGTCACATCGCCTTCAATTCCCTTTAACCTACGTATTTGCACAAAACGATTCTGCTACAAAACATCCCTGTTCTGGATTTATTTCCTGGCAAGCTGGGACTGAAAGAAATGATTCGATAATTACAATGAGTTTAACCAGACAAGTGTTATACAGTCTCCTCTGAATACTTTTTAAAGTTTTATAAGTCAAGTTTGTGCAGAAAAGACAACAAACTATTATTACTTTTAAATTTAACGTATAATATTGAATGCAATATTTTTATGCAAAACAAAGGGGTCAGGACTTTTCAGAATAGAAAGAGAACAACATATGCATAAAGTTAATAGGAAAGGGAGCTTTTTTGCTTCTCTTAAAATCACCCTTTTCTCCAAAAGAAATATTACTGATCTCTTAATTGTTCGCTCTTTCTTTCCAAAGTATTATATTAGGGTCGATGATAAATGTGGCAAATTGATAAGTTAAGGACATATGAGTATCCATTTTGCTCAACATTTTTGAAGAAAACCAACAGCAATTTTATTTTATATGCATATTTGGAAGTTAATTCAATGGTTTTTAAGCAGAAACGTATACAAAACTTATCAAACATAAAGACGAAAGACCATAAACTCACTTCCCCTTACAGTACAAATAAATATTTAACAGAATAAATCTACAGATATGTCATTCATTCTATTATAGATACATGTAATGGGTGTTTCTCGCCAAGCTCCCCCTTTTGAAGTGAAAGTTACTTGTCTCTCATAAATAAATTTTACAAACAAGTTCTTTGACAACGATGGCGTAGGTACATTAAAGAACTCTCACTGATCAATAGCCTAAAGTCAATCGCACTTTCGTGGGCCTTTGTCAACTCGATCGACACTTGAGGTTACTGAGTGCGTCAATTCATTTTTGAATGACATTTGAGAACTTTGAAGTATTACCTTTCCTCACATATCTACATGGGTGATCCGCCAACTATATATTAAAGTGTTCCGGGCCCAGGAAAACATTCTCTAGAAGGAGATGACGTCCTAAACGTCCGCCTTTTTGAACGCGGATGGAAGGTATACGAAGTCGGCGCTCGTGTCAAAGAACAGGATGCAACAATCCGAGCTTTTATTCTCCAGTCATATTTGACCGTAGAAGTCCTAGAACTACTGGAAACGCTACCATTTGAGGACCCAGCTGACCGTATTCTCAAAGTGCTTGAAACTCACTTCATTGGTATTACTAATGAAACTTATGAAAGATACGTTTAACATTCGCTCTCAGAAAAAAGGTTAAACCTTTGATACATTTCTTGGAGCAATCCGTGCACTCTCCAAGCCCTGTAATTTTGATGCACTTGAAGACTCGTTACTCCGTGACAAAATAGTGTGTGGTGTTAACAAAGAACACACAAGACGCAAACTCCTTGCGGAATCACAACTCAGCCTCGCAAAAGCCATAAACATTTGTAAGGTTGATGAGTCAGCTACACAGCAAGCATCTGAAATAGACAAATCAACAGACACAAAAGAGGATTCTGTTCATAGTGTAAAAACTCCACGTGACTCTAAACATTCTCAGCGGCCCCATTCTGCAACAGAGACCACACAAAGGACAGACTCAGGGACAAATAAACCATTAAAGTATTGTGGTGGCGCACATGCATGGGAAAAGGAAGCATGTCCGGCATATGGATAGACTTGTAAGAAGTGTAAAGGAAAAAAACATTTTGCGAAGTACTGTAAGCAAGGTGTTAATACTCGTGTACACAATGTAGAAGAGGGTAATGGCGATTATGCAAAGTCTGCTTACTTGATTACACAGGTCAGTACTACCATTGCAGGTGGATCTGGACGTATCTGTGCGGAACTCATGGTTAGCGATCAACCAATAGCTTTTCAGATAGACACAGGTGCTTCTAACAATCTTATTAGGAAGAAATGGATTGGTGACATTACTACAAATTACTCCATCGACTAGTACTCTAGTGATGTGGAATGGCTCAGTATGGAACATTGTGGGGAGTGTATTGTGAAATCAAAAGAACAGGACCAAGTACAAAGTCAAGTTCGTAGTTGTCAATGAGGTCTTAACTCAACTCCTCGAACTCAATGCATATACTCAAATAGGACTCATTTCCATAAATCAGGACAAGTTCAAGCCAGTGAACTCTGTGTACTCTGTCTGTCCGACTGTTGCGTACAAGGATGTATTTGAGGACAAAATAGGACAACTCCCTGGAGTAGCACATTTTGAGGTTGATCCCTCAGTCAAAACCAGTAATATCACCAGTCCGGAAAGTTGCAGTCCATGTGAAACCAAAATTAAAGGAAGCACTAGATGATTTGATATAGAAGGCAATCAAATCTCCTGTTAACAAGCCCACCTATTGGCTCAGCTATCTTGTATGTACATGTACTACTAAGAGAAACGGTGAACTCCGATTATGTTTAGACCCAGGGCATCTCAACAAAGCACTAAAACGTTAACATTTTCATCTTCCTCTACTCCGTGAGATACTACCAGACCTGGCACATGCAGAGGTGTTTTCAACATTTGATCTCCGTCATGGCTAATGGCACATAAGGCTGGATGATGAAAATAGTCACATGACTACATTTGACACACCATTGGGAAGGTACCGATGGCTACGACTCCCATTTGGTACCAATGTTTCCTCAGAGATGTTCCAGAAACGTCTATATCAGGCTATAGGTGACATGAGAGGGATTCTGAACATTGCAGATGATGAATTACTCTGTGGTGTTGGTGAGACCAAGGAGGAGGCCTTGAGAGACCATGATGAAAAATTAGTAGCATTTCTCCAGAGATGCCAAGTAGTTGGTATCCGACTCAATCCGAAAAAATTGCGACTGAGACTCTCCCAGGTTGGATTCATGGGTCACCTTGTAACCGACAAAGGAGTGCTACCAGACCCAGATAAAGTGGCTGCTATTCGCAACATGCCAGCACCAACAGACTTGCATTGTATACACAGATTATGTGGAAAAGTGAACTTCCTATCAGACTGCATTTCATCATAAGCTACAATAATGGAACCGATAAACATGCTCAAACGGAAGCACATTGAGTTCAGATGGGATGAACCTCAACGTAAAGCTTTTAAAAAAGTAAAAGAAATACTATCCTCTGAAAATCATCTCCAATACTACGATGATAAGAAACCACTTACCATACAGTGTGATGCGTCCAAAAGAGGCTTGGGAGCAGCCTTTCTACAGGAAGGAAAGCCAATAGCATATGCTAGCCGAGCACTCACTGAAACTGAGGCGAACTATGCTCAGATCGAGAAGAAACTTCTGGCCATAGTTTTTGCATTGGAGAAGTTTCATCTGATACAGCTGATACATACATATTTTTTATCGTACTGAATGCGATAGAATAAAATGTTTGGGATTAGCAATTGTTTTTTTATGTCAATCTATGAAGGGAAATGCTAAGATTTTATTGGAGAATGGATATACAAAAACTCTCACATTTATAGAGATCAGTTGATCTATAATCCTCCTGTGGACAACCTTTTGTAAAGTTATGACAATTTGCATGGTCCAGATAACCGCTACCAGCATATATTAAACAATTCCCTGAGAAAATAGAAATATAAAAAAGAAATAAAAAAAAATCAAATTGAAGTTAATTGAAATGCTTTAAATGATTACTACTATCACAAATTAAGTTCAGTTTAAAACGAGAAAAACAGTCAATTTAATATATATAGTAAAGATATTGCTAATATCATCACGAATGTGATAATATACTCGTTTAAAGAATATTTATATTTATAATATACCAACTGTGGATCACTCAGTTGATGACAATTGTTCACTGATGACGAATTTCTTAATGCACAAGAAACACAATGTAATGTTTCTGCCTACTACATCATCAGTTTAGGAGAGTGGTGATAAGGATTCAAAAAACCACAGTGTAATGATCCGGAAAGTCGGATCAAGTCATCCTGTTTTCAACACTAACAGTAAACAGTAAGTTTGAGTGAGATGCAGTTGGGTATATAATAAATAAACATATGGGATACAAAGCTAAGTAGATTCAATTAATGAATGTAT